GGGGGGGAGGGAGAGAGAGAGAAAGAGATAGGGAGGGGGAGAGGGGGGCATTCTGCAGGCGCTAGGATGAGCGACACAGAGACAACAAAAGCACACAGGCGTTTAACGCGAGATTCCACTGAGCATGCCCAGAGCACGCTGTGCAAGCGATAGGGAGGGGGGGGGAGAGGACCTGTTGTTCTTTTCTCATAATCATTCCAGCTGTCTCATTCTCCCTCTTATCTGCAGAAACAGGCATCTAATCCCCAACATAACAACAATCTGGTGTTCTGACTGACATGAGTGGACCTGAGCTGGATCCACAGGTGATTTGCCTCCTGTGTACACACATTTGCTGTTTCAAACCCTAGTGAGCTGTCTACCTACACAGTATTTTAAGACATCACAGGAGGGCTGTTCCAAAAGGTAGGCAGCATACTTATTAAGATTATGTTTCGCCCCCTCTGGGTGCATTTTATACTAAGGAGCTCAACCAGCCACCACTGAGTTTTCATCAGATTCTTGGAAAACAGATGAATCTACAGGTCATAGCCTCCAAACACACACCCTAGTGACCCGACTACCTAAACATTTGAAGATATTATTTAAAGAAAATTATAGAAATAATACAAAATATAAATTCTAAATATATATTATTTTAGTTAGAATTTATCATGTTAATAATTTTAATATTTATATAATTATAAACAATTCTAAATACACTTTTACTCTTAACTTGACAAAGGTATTCAAAGGAGAGATTTAGGGCTTTGTTCTTTACTAAAACTTATGAATATATGCCAACATTAAAGACAATTAAAAAAAAAAATTATATTATAGTTAATATTTTATTACTTTATAAGGTTACACTTTATTTCGATAGTCCACTTTAGACATTCTACTAACTATAAGTAACTTTGTAACTACATGTCAACTACATGTCAACTAATTCTCATTAATCTGCATCTACATGTCTACTAACTCTCAGAGTAGACTGTTAGGGTAGGTTTAGGGTTAGTAGAATAAGTGGACAAAGAAAGTGTTAGAAGATATTAAGCAGACAGTCTACTAATACTCTACTAACTGCTAGTTGACATGTAGTTGCAAAGTTACTTACTGTTAATAGAATGTCTAAAGTGGACTATCGAAATAAAGTGTTACCCTTTATAAATTCTAAAAAATAATATTTTATAATACTTTTGCATACATTACATAATTATATTTATTAAATATACATTTATATAATTTATTTATAATTATAAAAGTATATTTACAATTAAAATATACTTCTACTCTTATTTCTGAAAAGAATAAAAATAAAGTATAAATAATTATGAATATGTGCAACATTAAACAGCTTCAATTAAATTAGTTCTACTTTATATATACACACACACAGTTTATGTATACGTTTGTATATGTATACACATTGTAGCGAATCAGCTCAAAGGGGGAATATGCATAATTAATCATAACTAGTTATAATTAATTATAAATATTTAGATCCGCTGTAAGTATTTACTTGACCTCTCAGGGTCAAATGTCTGTCAATTCTAAGAACGTTAATTTCCTGGTTAAGAGAAATAACTTTCTTACTGTACAATACTACACAGAGCATGTAGCAAAAATC